TCTCTCTCTCAATCTCTTTCTCTATCTCAATCTCTCTTTCTCTCTCACACACACACTTTCACTCTCTCTCTCAATCTCTTCCTCTCAATCTCTCTCTCTCTCTCAATCTCTTTCTCTATCTAAATCTCTCTTTCACACACACACACACTTTCTCTCTCTCTCTCTCTCTCTCAAACTCAATCTCTCTCTTTCTCTCTCAATCTCCTTCTATCAATTTCTCTTTCTCTCTTTCAATCTCTTTCAATTGCTCTCTCTCAATCTCTCTCTCAATCTCTCTTTCTCTCTCTCTTACACACACACTTTTGCTCTCTCCCTCAATCTCTTTCTCTCAATCTCTCTCTCTTTCTTTCCATCTCTCCAGGGAGATGTTGTCCGGTTGTTCCATGCTGAACAGGAGAAGTTTCTGACTTGCGATGAATACCAGCAGAAGCAACACATTTTCCTCCGCACAACTTTGAGGCAGTCAGCCACTTCGGCAACGAGTTCAAAAGCCCTGTGGGAAATAGAGGTATTTTGGGGGGGCGGGGAGAGAAACTCCCTAGTTTGTACCTTGTATGTGCCTTGTAATCTATTTAATCTGCACTGATACCCCCAAATATATTGAGAAGGGACCACCCTGAATCAGTAGAAACTTTCCGAGATGGTGTTGCAGAATCTACTTCCAGAATGATGGTGTCCACAGAATATATATTTGTTCTGGAGAGCTTTTTCTTGTCCTTTTAATACAGCTAGCCTTCAGCTTACGACCACAATGGTGCCTCAAAATTTCTGTGTTAAAACTTCTCCCTCCCTGCCTCTCCCTCTTTTCTTCCCTCCCTCCCTCTCCCTCCCCCTTCTCCCTCTGTTTCCTCTCTCTCCTCCTCCTTCTTTCCCTCTCCTTCCCTCCCTCTCCTTCTGTTTTCCGTCTCCCCCTCTCTCCTTCCCTTCCTTCCTCCCTCCTTCTCCCTCTCTTTTCCTTCCTCCCTCCCTCCCCCTCCTTCTGTTTCCCCCTTCCCCCTCTCTCCTTCCCTCCCTCTCCCTCTCTTTCCTCCCTCCCTCCCTCCTTCTCTCTTTTCCTCCCTCCCTCCTTCTCCCTCTTTTCCTCTCTCCCTCCCTCTCCCTCTCTTTCCTCCCTCCCTTTCTCCTTTTCTCTTTTCCTCCCTCCCTCCTTCTCCCTCTTTTCCCCTCTCCCTCCCTCTCCCTCTCTTTTCCTCCCTCTCCTTCCCTCCCTCCCTCCTTCTCCCTCTCTTTTCTTCTCTCTCTCCCTCCCACCCTCCCTCTTTCTCTCTCTCTGCCTCCCTCTCTCTCTCTTTCCTTCTCTCTCACATCCCAGTGTTGTTGACATGGGGATAAATCAGGTCAAATTCCAGCATTGTGACCATATTTGACACACACACCCTGTGTGTTTCTCTGCAGGTGGTGCATCACGACCCTTGTCGCGGTGGTGCCGGACAGTGGAACAGCCTGTTCAGATTTAAACACCTGGCGACCGGAAACTATTTGGCTGCTGAAGTAAGGAATACCATTACTTGGAATGCAGGAGAACAAGCAGTGAAGGTGGTTTAAGCAAGGCCAGCGTAAACTTCTTTTTCATCACGGATTTCTTGGGCGCCATGGAAGGAGAGATTGCATTGTGGTTTGTTGTTCTAAGTCTTCGCGACAACATGGACCACAAAACCCCAGGCCCCCTGTGCTCCATGACCCTATCTAACCACCTCATCCTCTGCTGTTCCCCTTCTCCTTTGGCCTTCCATCTTCCCCAACCTCAAGGTCTTCTCCTCCTTTGGTAGCCAAAGGCTTTGAGTGGGTCCTTGGTGGCACTCCGAACTCAGTTGTTTTCTTGCACACATTTCATTACCCAACTAGGTAACACCATTAGTCCTAGAAGGGAGTGGGGTTTGTGGAGAGGAGGAGGAGGAGGAGGAGGAAGAAGAAGAAAAAGAAGATTATAGGATCCTTGGTGCTCTCTGATCTTGCTTGTTTTCTTGCAGACGTTTCATTACCCAATTAGGTAACACCATCAGTGTTGGTCATTTCAACTCTGAGCTACAAATATTCTCCTTTTTAGGTTATTGACTTCTTCCTGAAATTCTACATCCTTAAATTTTTGGAGAGGTATAAGTTTGGCAAGGTCATAGACCCAAGGTTCATAACAATCTCTGAACTGAAAATCTTCTGTTTTTGTTCTATGTTGTCCTTCCAGCTTGACTGACAACCATCAATCATTATGAAGGGTCCTTGGTGGCTCTCTGAACTTGCTTGTTTTCTCGCAGACGTTTCATTACCCAACTAGGTAACATCATCAGGGCTAGTAAAGAGTGGGGTTTGTTGTCAGTATTTAAGCTCCAGCTTCAGTATCCATTGTTGTACTGTTGCAAACTGCTCTGATCCTTCGAAAGAGCAATCAATGATAAAAAAAATAGAACCAAATTAAATGTATTTGCATTTACATCAAACCTTTTGGTTATGTTGCTCTCCTTCGGTGTCTAACGGGGGGGACGGGGGACCCATTTTAACATGATTACGTATGGGACATATTGCAATTTATTTGAGACAAGAAAGACTCTCCAAAAGGAAAGAGCAGTTTGCTTTTCTCTTAAGAAGATAAACTATAGCAGAACAGGAAAAGAAAATACAGATAATATCAGACTTCACAGGCAAAGCTGTTTGTGAGGCCAGGGGCAGAGGCTTGAGGGCATAAGGAGATATAATCATAGGAAGAAATAATAATACACAGGGCGTAGACATTAAAATGCTCAAAATTTATCAACCTCACAAGATTAAAATGCACATTATATGGATTGCAAACCCCTTTATATCATTTCATGAATTGTTGTGACCCACGGAATACTTCGTGAAATCCATACAACGTCCTTTTTAATCCTGTGAGTTGGATCAGGTTTGAGCACTTTAAATTATACTGTATATGTATTTATTCCAGAGAGTTTTTCTTTTTCCTTTTCACACTGCAATGGTCATAAATATGAGGCAGTTGTCAAGTGTCTGAATTTTGATCATGTGACCGTTGTAACTTCAGACCTGTCATGCCCCTGTTGGAGTCTGACTCTGAGGGAGAGATGGAACGGCTAACAGAAAGTGGGAGTGTGGCTCCGGTGGTTGTGGAGGAAACTGGGGAAGGGCATAGGCTGGATGGGCATTCAGAGGAAGACCCAGGCCCATCCCCTCTTCATCCTAGGGCACGCAGGGAGGAGCGGAGAAGGGAGAAATGTGAATGGTGTGGTCTATGGGGGAGGAAAGGGCCTTGATCCCCTTCATGGGCTGCAGCTGGGAGGACTGTTTAAAAGGACAAACTGCCCATGGCAAAGTTGCTAGAAGCAAAGCATGCATTATTCTTGTCAGAGCTTATCTGTGTTTTGGTTTCCTCCCAACTCTGGTTGCTGCATTATCTGGTAGAAGTCTGCAATTAATCATCCTTGCCTGTCTTACTAATTACTTCAGTGTGGTGTGTGTTGGGTTTTTTAAATTTCTAATTAACTTTACTTTGGGTTTGGACTGCATTTACTCCCTCTGCAAACTGTTTCTTTAAGAGTTTGATTTCCAGCTGAGGATAATTGGACATTGGGATCAAGTTGGAGGCATTAAAAGGGACTTTCTTCTATTTTTGTGACTTGGTTATTTTTGTGTCATGCCCCGGGTCATCACAAAACCGTCACTAAACGAACTATTGTCATTCGAGGGCTACCTCTACATCCATTTCATCAGGTTTAACTTTTTCTTGTCTTCCTGGGGAATATTTATTTATTCCTTGGAAATAAAGAGACAATAAAAACCTCTCCTTTTTTTGTTTTAATTGCACCAAGTATAATCCATTCCAGAAATAAATTCATCTGATGAATTAATTCATCCTGGCCAGACAAAGACCAGCTGTGTTAATTCCCTTTGGAAGTTGATCCAAAATATACAGTATGTTTGGCACATTGGAATGGATCTGATTGTGCAAGAGAGAAAAAAAAGAACGAGAACATTTTCCTCGTTTCTTCCCTCACGTTCTTCTCACAACTGTCTTTTGCTGCAGACTTTATTTTTCCAACATCTGTCTGGATTTGAGTTGGATCAGAAGAAAAATGGCTTGCGGGAACTGAATGTGGTTTTTATGCTCTTGATATTAAAAAGAGCTTATTTCCTTCCCGGGAAAGCTGATTTAATAAGGAAATATTATTGCCAATGTTACATATAGGTTAAGCTCGGTGGATTGCTACAAAAATTGAATGTGCCAGCCATTCTGAAATGGCGCCATTTATAATGGGAACATTTATTTTCTTTCTTTGTGCCTTTTTATGGCATGTGACCTCAAATTCTTACCAACCTCTTAAGATCAGATAACAGATAATCAGAGTTGGGAGGGACCTTGTAGGTCATCTAGTCCAACCCCCTGCCCAAGCAGGAGACCCGACACCATTTCTGACAGATGGCAGTCCAGTCGCTTCTTGAAAGCTTCCAGGGATGAAGCTCCCACAACTTCCAAAGGCAACTTCTATTCCACTGATTGTTTGTTCTCACCATCAGAAAGTTTCTTCTTATTTCCAGGTTGAATCTCTCCTCCTTCAGTTTCCATCCATTATGCCTTGTCTGGCCTTCAGGTGCCTTGGAAAAAAGCTTGACCCCCTCCTCTCTGTGGCAGCCCCTCAGATCTTCCATTGGACCCCTTCAAATTCTCAATTAACCCTAAAAAGTGTTGGATAATCTTGGACCAGGCATGGTCTCTAGTCTATAATAGACTATCAAAAGGTCTAAATTCTTTTGGAGCATTGCTAGGAGGATAAGATAAGAGGGATGAAGCATGGAAGGAATCCTGAATCATTTGAAGGAAGAATGGGATAAAAATGATTACATCAACCACCATATTCATTCAGTGATCCAGTCTGGACAAGTGAATCATGAACGTAGGGTTTGAATCCACCTTGCACGTCTGCAGATCTATCAGTTTGTCCACAGAAGTAAGGACTATCTCAGAATTCTTTGGAGATGTTTTGCTTCTCATCTAAGAAGCTTCTTCAGAGCTGAAGAAGCTTCTTGGATGAGACGCAAAAGGTCTTCAAAGAAAAACCAGAAGGTCCAGTTGCCTCTTGAAAAAGCATCTTTGGGACAACCATGACCTTGATGACCAAGAACCTCTATAGACAATATTTCAGAATGTATAAAGTTGGAAGGTCTCAGGTGCAAAAGACCAGATTCAGACGTGAAAGTTCAATTAAACTGAGTTATTGCTAGAAGCTTGTGTACAGAAATCTTTTCAACGAATGGCCATAATCTGTTTAGAGTCAGATAAGAGTCAACAGGACTCAAGGAAAGTTGGACTTAGTTTTCTTGTGGCTACATTGGGATTCTAGACTGATGCCCCTTTTCACTCTGCCCTAATCTGGCATTCTTTCTTCTACAGAAAAATTCTTAATAGACCATCTAACTCAACTTGTTTAATTCAGGAATCTAATAAACTACCTACAGAAACCAGTTATCTAACCACCTTTTTTGAGAGACTCCAATTAGGGGTTTTCCTTTGCTGTTGTCAGCCGATGGTTTCAATGCTTATTGCCAGGAAATTCCTTCTAGTTTTCAGCGTGAACATGCTTCCTTTGAATTTCAACGTGTTGGTCTTGTCAACTGTAAAGAACTTATCTAGTCACACCAAATGTTTGTTGGTGGGGTTGAGGAAATTTGTGGAAAGAACCACTACTGCGGCTAAATTTTTCCTTTTGCTCATCTTTCTCATAGCAGTGTTCAGCGTTTTCTTGTTGCTGGAAAGAATGACATTGTGATAAAAACTCAACGGATTGGGGGGGGGATGATGGTGTTGAACATTGAACTGTTACTACCTACCTACCTACCTACCTATCACCTGTCTTCCTACCTACCTATCTATATAATCTATCTATCTCATCTATCTATCATTATCTATCTCTATCTATCTATCTATCTATCTATCTATCTATCTATCTATCTATCTATCTATCTATCTAACTAACTAACTATCTATCTCATCTACCTACTTACCTACCTACCTATTTATCTATATCATCTATCTATCTACCTACCCATCTCATTTCATCCATCTATCAATTCTGCAGGCCATAAACACACACCTTCTCCAGGCTTCTGTTAATTGTAGAATACGGGGAACAAACCAGGGACAACCTGACTTTCTACCTGTAATCTGTCGCCCTGTCATGTCTGGAGAATTTTTATGGGAGCCAATTTGGAGTTTTGGAGATTAAGTTGAAGAAAATGTCGTCAACTTTTTTTTTGGCGTAGGATCAGAGCTCCTCTGTCTTTCAGCGAGCCCTTGATGTCCTTTCTAGAGGTAGAAAAGTGCTTTGTTTGCTTGCTTAGGCTGGTCTCCCTGCCAAGAACAACACTCTGCTTTCAGCTTTTGAACATGTCAGCTAATTAAGCTTTCCTGGGTAAGGAAATGTCAAAAATTGTGCGCTGCCTCTTAAGTGGGTTGATGTAGGCCATCAATCTTCAGGACGTTTTGCAAGAGGTTGGGTGGAAGCTGCAGAGGAAGGTGGAAAGGGTTGAGTGAGGAAAGGAGAAGAATGCTGACAGCTTTGCCTAAAACAATACAAAGAGACCCGGGTTCAGACATTGAAACAAATGGACAGTTGCAAAATTATTTCTGACGCATTGCTGTGGTCCCTGCAGGCTGATGACTTGGCCATGGCGATTCTTTGACTGGGTTGTGTGCCTTTTGCCTCGTGTCATAACTTCTGCTGAACACTTAATGTCCATAGTTCTTGTCTTATGTCTAAGGCTATTACTCATCTGTAGTACAACTATATATTGCTTTTGTCTTTCACTGCCTTCTCTTATTGGAATTATCATTATGATTATTATCCTTTGTTATTATGATTATGATTTCTTTGTTGCTTTGCATGAACACTGAGAGCTTCTGTGCTGGAGACAAATTCCTTGTGTGTCTAATCACACTTGGCCAAATAAAGAATTCTATTCTATTCTATTCTATTCTATTCTATTCTATTCTATTCTAT